GACACTAATAAAACTGGAAAATGATCAATTTACCTCTCATACAAACAATGTCTCTAATACAACAATCTCAACATTATCTCTCAATTTCAGGTAAGTGTGAGATGAACAAATTAGCTTCAACACTAAAATAACTGCACTAAGGTGGTTGCCTACGTACCCCCCTCCAGAAGGGATTAAGCCTTGCATAGTTCTTCAAAATATTTGAATGAGTAGTCAATCATGAGCTCGGTTGTTCACCAAACATATATAATATATGAACTTACGGACTTATAACATCTTTGTGAGCATGTTCGTTATATTATTCTTCGTATCTATTTTCTTCAATAGAATATATTTTTTGTCAATCGTGTCTTGAACGACGTGACACTTCATATCAATGTGCTTAGTACGAGCATAGTGAACTGGATTTGTGGCAAAAAATCATAGAACATATTTAGAGACTTCTGATCAACTTCTAAGTCATCCATTAGGCCCTGTATCCACATCTCTTCCTTCATAGCTTACGTGAATATCATGTACTCATCATTTGTAGTTGACAAAGTAATAATAAACTGAAGAATTAATCTCCAAATAACCAGACTTTCTATCAATATAAATAATAAGTTGTAAAATTAAAGTCTATCCATATCATATACATAGTTTTAATCAGTGTAGCCTACACACAAATCGATAATAGATGATTATCTCTCAACTGCTAAGATAATATCAATTTTACCCTTTAGATACTCCAAAATATTTTTCACGACCTATTAATGACTCAGTCCTAAATGATGTATATGTGAACCTACTCACAACACCAGCCACTTATTCAATATTTGCTAGTACAAATTATGACATATCAGACTGCCCACTACACTAACATAAGGAATCAACCACATGTCTTTCCTCTCTTAATCATTTTTGGACACTGATTCGAACTCAACTGAAAGTAAAATGTAATGAGTAGACTCTTGCTTTATTGAGTCATCAAACTCAAACTTCTTCAACACATTTCGAACATATGCTCCTTATAAGAGACAATTTTTCAGTTGTTTTGTTTTTGAGAATTTTTATACCAGGAATTCTACAAGCTTCACTTAACTCCTTCATCTCAAAATATTTAGATGATTCCTTTTTATCCTTTTAGCCTCAATCTTTCTAGCATATATTGTAATTAACATGTCATCAATATATAGAAGCATGTAAGTGAACTCACCATTAACCAAATTCTGAAAATATGCACAATGACTGTATTGGTTCATTGTGTGCTCCTATTTTGTCATGAATTGATTAGGCTTCTTATACCGCTATCATGTTGACTGCTTTAGCTCATATAAAGACTTATTAAGTCTAAAAAATAAGTCTATTCAGAATTAATATCTAGGTGACTGAAATATGTAAATCTCTTCTTAAAAATCCTTGTGTAGGAACACATACTTCACATCAAGCTGTTGCAAAGCATATTGTACTATACTATACATGTTAATAGAACACAGCTCAAGGGATGCTTGAACACTAGAGAGAACATCTCATCTTAGTGAATCATTTCTTGTTGTGCAAAGCTTTTTATCACTAACCTTGACTTATACTGCACATTAACTCCAGAGATCTTTTATTTTTTGTATACTTATTTGTAAGGTTGTAATTTAGCCGAGTCGAGCTAAGTATATCAAAATTTGGACTTGGCTTAGTATAATTATAAATTTTTCATGTTCGGCTTGAGCTTGTGTAGAGCTTTCATATATTGTTGAAGCTTGAGTTGTTTACATTTTTCAATGTTTGAACTTGATTTGGTTTTGACAAGTGAACAAGTATTTAAAACAAGCTAAAAATTCAAATGAGTATCTGAATTTTCATTTAAAAAGTCAATAAATAATTTTATAACTCTGATCGCACCCACTAGTTTATCAATTATAAACTCTATAAAAATGAAAGGTAACTCATGCACAATGATCATATGTGATTTAATCCCTCGTATTTTAGTATGATCATACTTTTAAGTTTGCACCAAACTCACATCCAGATATAGGTGTTGGTTTTCCCGTAGTAATATGCATTTGTAACTTTTCTAGCTTTTTGGTTATTTTTGTAGATGTTTTTATATTGAGATATTGCAACATCCTAATTCTTAATCACATATAACTTACAATGATTGCATTACATTTTCTCAACATTATTTTTTAATCAAAGAGAATTTACGAGCAAAGTGGAAATGGGAGATATACGAGAGACAGGAGTTTCAGAGATCCTTGCACTCTGCGATCTCGTCATTGCCTTCGATGCTTGCACAACCAACCAACTCAGGGTTTTATCTGTTTTGGGTGAAACTAGGAGACGCGAAACTATGAGAGGCCATAAAAAAATTATGGTTTGTGGGGGTTTAAAGTTAATTTTAAGGAACATTTAAATGATACAATATAAGTTTTGTATATTTTCACATCTAACACCGAAATTTTTTAAAAATTAGTATATAATTACACTACAGGAATGAGGTTTTTTTTTTGTGTTGGCTAGATCAGACGTTAATTGGACGCAAAGCCGGTGATAATTAATGTTCATCATCATATTTGCATTTGATTTCCGTCTAATTTTTTCAATCGTTAAATCGGGGGTCGATAAAGATAATATTGTCAAATTTACGTTGAAATATTTTGAAGCAAATAAATTGTGTCGGTTTATTGTCGTATTATTGTTAGATTGTTTCTTCAAAACTTGTGTCTAATTGACTATATTCATCCTAGCATAGTCTATAGCTTTGGTCCAATTGACTATATTCAACCCAGCATTAGACAACATACATAGAACCTTTTCCACCAAACTCTAGTTCATCCTCTATCACCCCATTTTATTGCACTGTCTCTTGAATAATGAAGTAGTACTATATCACAACTATCTAGCACTCTTGTAATAAAACATCTGATGTGTATTTTCCCTCATTATCTAGCATGATATACAATATCCTATTACCAGTCTGAGTCTTAATTCACTATTTTAAAGTCATGAAAATCTATAGCATGTTGCTCTTGCACGTCATGTTGTACCCAAATATATATGAAGTAATAATCGGTAGAAGAGAAATTATCTTTACCCATGAAATGATGCAATCTTCATTGGTCCCAAACAACTATGTAAACATACATTTTTTTTTTATATTATGGATAGTAGTACCAAAGGATTTCTGTGTCTTCTTCTCAAATACATAATATTTATAGAGATCGAGCTTATAGATGCTCGCTTATTTGACCAATCTTTGTTTCACCAAAACCCAAATTGAAGCTTCTTCGGCATGATTTGGTTATGTATGCAACAATGTAGTGATGTCAAGAGGAGCATCAATAACTATAGCTATTCTAATCAATGTACTAACCTAAAATAGTTAAGATTGTGATAACAAACTCCCTTCATAAAAACCAAAATCACACTGATCCAGGTCCCATACCAACTATCATATTAAATAATATGAAAAGTAAAATCACACATCATACAAATATTTAAATATTATGCAATTTATGTGATTCGTGCAAATCTGCCGACATCCATAGGGATTGGTCATTCCACTATTAACAGGTGGGAAGAAAGAAAAGACAATTGAAATAGGATTGCAACTGTGATCCATAAAATGAAATCATCCCTAATTTCTCTTATAAGTGAGAGAGAATTAGTGCGCACGGATAAAAACTGAGAATGACCAGGTTACCCCTTATACAAATAAAGTCTTTAATAAAACATTGTTGTGCATAACTATGAACCAAGCTTGATGCCAATTATTGTGCAAAACAATACAGAAAATAAAATCACTTAACAAACAATGCAAATCCGCCTGCATACGTGAGGATTGGTTATTCCACTATCAACCAGCTGGGGTAAAGAAATAATAACTCTAAAATCAGCCATAATCCCTCAAATAAAAGAGGATTATGACACACTAATAAAAGCAAAAATGACTAATTTATTCCTTATACAAACAAAGCCTATAGATATAATAGATAATAACCTAACTTTATTGGGTTTAGTCTTATTAATCCAAACTTGTTCACTAGTTGCTTCTTCATTGGATATATGTTTTCTCAAGCATCTAACCTTAAACTAGTTCTTTATCGAGCCTTATAAGAGTATTTTTACTAAGTTTATTCACGGGCCTCAAACAATATTATTCATGATCTTAAGAGAACGGAACAAGAAGCTATTTCACTTTGTTTATCTATGAATTGAATATTTATAACAAAACATTCAAACCAACATAATTAGCTATGAAATGATCAAAAACAAAATCAAATCAAGCCAATTCACGAATAACTTATCGAATGCACGAGCATTTGCATCTCTAACTACATTTATTTAATCATTTTAATTCACTAATTATTTGAGTGTGTGTGACTTAATCACGACTGAGTAGCTGTTAGAACTGAATTCAAAACCACAACACAATATTTAGTTATGACAAATAACACCGTAATTTTACAGCAATCACCAAACCACTTTTAAATATTTCCGCAACAATATATATATATATATATAATTAGCCCGTTAATCAAAGGATTAAATAAACCACAGTAAGAAAAAAAAATCAAAATCAAAACAAAGCAAGATCCCTATTTTTAGTTTTTAGGTAAATTGATGCCCTGTTTTCTTGCTGAATCAGAACTCTTACACTTCAACAACCCCTCTCCTTCTCTCCTTCAACAGATTATTATTATCCATTACCAACTCAAGAGGTCGCATTCTTGGAACATTATGTATCCTCTTTTACCAGTTCAGGAAGCCTCCTAACGAAATAATATAGATTTTATTCGAAATTTCCTCTGCTTTAGAACTCCCAGGTATCTTTATCAACACCTGCCGTCAGGTAACTTGAACAGACACGCATATTGTGTTTAGGCCCCACTTACAGCTCCCATTAATTTATACAGAACCAATTCTTCATGGCCAGTAACGCTATATAAACATAGAAGAAGATTCATAGCCTGCAGAACAATCCGTAGGGAGAGTTTCTAAATATTAATTCCTCCTCCATTGATTTCATGGCTCGGGCTGCATTTTTCTTGGTTTGCTTCTTCTTCGTGTTCTTCGGTTTCTTTGCTGATGCTGCGGTGGTGGAGCAAACTTTCGAAGTAATGGTTCTGTAAACCATTAGCTCCTTATTTGCTTTAATATTATATGCATGCATTCAACATTTTGGTTCAGGCCAAGTTTTCCATATTTATTAAGCATGCACTGAAATCAATCATATGTCCACTCATGCTTTTGTGATTAATGGTGGGTTATCAGTGTTTAATAATACATTATGGAAATGCTGACAAAAAATTATATATATATATATATATATATTGTGTTGTGCTCGATTACTATAGTCTTGTGAATTCTATCACTGCTTAGTTTAGTCATTTTGTAAAGTAGAATCCTTCTAACATTGCTAATTATATTAGAAAGTAAGTTCTAAATGATCTATTTCCCTGAAAACCATAATCAATCTTTTTTTTGCAATTAACATGAAAATATATATATATATATATATATAGAGTGTGTGTGTATGTATGTATGTAAGTATAGACGCAAACAAACACATACTATATGTATACTTGCTAGCTAGTCAAAGTACTCATAATATCAAATATTTCAAGGAAAATTTAACAAATTAAAAAGAGAAGAAACAAAACAAACATATGTTATTATACATAAAAAATGAAAATATAAATTTTCAAAAAAAAAAAAAAAAAAAAAAAAAGAGTCTAGGATGGACGGTAGGGCGAGAGGTTTGGAAAAAGGACAAGTATTTTTCTTTTTCAAATGATCAACAAGTCCAATCAGAACAAAGTCCAATGTCTTCTGTTTAAAATGAAGAATCATTGCACTTGGGGTACTTGTGTTATATCATATTATATGTTACAATTGAATAATTTATGATTCAATTCTTTTTCAATAGCACTGTTTTAATATTACTTAATAGCTGAAAGTATAGAAGAGCATGAAAAAATTGTATTTTATCAGTTTTTGAAATTTAAAATTCTGAATAATTAAACACACACACGCATAAAATTTTAATTATTTGAGATGCTAATCCTCTCTTTTTAAAATTTTAAATTGCAAAAAAAGGAGAATGAAGTACATAACTTAGAAATGAAGAAAAACAAATTAATCTCATCGGATATAATTATGACACTAATGAACTCTTCTTAAAACATTTTAATGAGATCAGTGGTTATATATATATATATATATATAT